CGAATTAGCACATTCTTTAGACAATATCCTTAGGTGTACAGTATTTATTTATATCTAAAACCGTTAATTCATAGTAAATACCTAAACCATTTGATCTAGAAAAACAGTTTCTCTCGTTATACCTTCTTTAAACAGGCAGCTCCTGAGCCTATATTCCATAATAATATTACATTGCATTTTATATAAGGTGCGCTCGGCCCAGCTCGAGGCCGCACGGGGCCGCTCGCTGCATCTCCTTTTTCATTTTTTGTTTAAAGAAATATAACCTTACAATATATAACATAAATGTTGCATTACTCGTTTCAATGCATCACAACATCGGACCGCGTGGTTGTGGTAATTGAAAGCGACCCTTAGGCTTAACTCTTACTGGCGCAGAGTCGCAGCGTCGCGATGCGTCATGTTTTTCGCCTAAAGCATATTCATCTCTATTTTCCCATTATTAAGGTACAAATTTGTGTTTTGCAAATATGGAATCGTCGACACGACGCGACGCTTAGACTCTGCGCCAGTGTGAGTTGAGCCTTAGGGTGATACGTATCGTTCTAGTGAGACAAGCGGGCTCTGGACAGGGACTCCGGAGCCTGCATTGCACGGCCTCACTCGTCTGGGGGCGGGTCAGAGGACAACCGACTCGCCCCTCCGTTGGCGCGGGAGCCCTGGCGTAAGCTAGGGCGGCCGGGCGGCGTCGTGGTGAATATTCACTGATCCCACGGCGCCGACTCAACCGGCGAGAGGGAAACCCGGGGGTTTTTAGTGGGGTAGGCACTCCAGCCTGGAGAGAGAGTCCCCACATAACCCCTGAGACTCCCCCCCGTCAAAAAAAAAAAAGGTGATACGTATCGTGGACATTTGTCCTTAGAGTCGGAAATGAAACTACCAATAGTTTAATTTCCCGCTCTTTACAGACATAAATGACGAATGCATTATTCGCAACTTGACGTCTAGGCGCTTATTTCGATTGTGACGGGTATGGGGTTTTGCTCGTGCCACCCGAGCTCCTCCAGAAGAATGATATAAAAAAAATCAGTAAATTGTTAACCTTGTATATTTTATCCGAATAATTCGTCTTTTTTATACTTAGTCACCGTCTGAGAACCACCTAACACTCCTTTTAGACTCACCGTCCACATAGGCAAGATAAAAAAAATTCAACCACCACAAAAAATAAATGAAAACACGTATGTTTATATTAACTTAACACAAAAAATCACAAGGAAAAAATGTATATATTTGTAGTGTAGTTTGAAATGAAACTATTTTTCCGGATTTAAATCGCGTACCTATATTTGTTTTTTTAAACAAGCAAACATTTCGAGCCGTTTTCAGGTCCCATAGTCACGGTTGACTTGATTTGACTTGACAGTCAACCGGGAACTCGATTTGTAGTGTAGTTTCCACAGATAATTCAGTTTTTTGTTCAAATGCGGTGGCACCCCCTGGACAGCATCAGCGCCCCCCAATTGCTTCTGAGGCTTGACCTAGGACTCTTTAACGCCCACTAGGGGGCGATATGGCCTAACACGATAAGCGATCACCTAATCATCACGCCACCGCGCACCGGTGGCATCATACGGTTGCCGCATAAATAAATGACAAACGATTGACATGTCAGGTTTGATAAGTGCGCTGTACTCATAGATATCATAGTACTCGTTACTTATCTCCCGTGTACAATTGTGAAGACAAATCTTGTTCCAGTCTTAATTTGCGCACAAAATTTTGCTGTGAAAATGATTTCTGTAATATTTGAGACGAAATGCTAATAAAAAAAAGTTGTAAACAAAAGGTAAAAGGGAAATTTCAATTAAGGATCTTTTTAACCAATTTTAAAAAAAGGAGGTGTTCTCAATTTGACTGTACTTTTGTAAACCGATTTCGATAATGTTTTTTTATGGGAAAAGGTAGTTTGAAGAAAATACTCCTCCTCGAAAGGTGGCAAATTGGGGGATGAATCCGCTTTATTGGATATCACCCACTTTCCTTTAACCTATTTCAATAAAACTTGACAAATAGATGTAATTCCACAAACTTTTGAGGTCTTTTTATACAAAACTTACAATTATTGAAGATTAGCTTATCTTGCCAAGTCGTTGCGATGACGTTCTAGAACTTAGAGAAAGAACAATGGCGAACTACGATATAAATTTTTGTTGACATAATTTGTCGTAAAGAAATCTCTGTAGAAAAATCTCTGTGAAAATGCAGAGTTCCTGAACATTGATTTCAGGTTTACTATTTTGAGTAGTTTGGAGTTTAGTTTTTGTTTTACATAAATTGAATAAAACATATTCGGTGTATTATTATATCAAAATAAACTACAGAAGCCTTAGACAGCGTTAATAGAAGTCGAATGAAACCGTGGGTTTGTGACGTGACGAAAGTTCAGAGAAAATTATTTTGTATAATGTTATGGTCAAAAAACAAAACAAAAAACAAAAGAAAACCCTCAATGATTGAATGAAATGAAACTTTTTTTGTCAATTTAACACTTCTTGTGCGCGATATTTCGAGAAGCAATTAACTATTTTGTTTTTTGTAATAAAGTAGTTTTTTTTTATTGCAAAACGTTCGAATCTTTTCTGTGGCCAAATACATCGTATGTATAGCATTTCGACATAGCAACATGTTTGAATCAAAAAAACAGTATTAACTGTCGGACATGTTTCAAATGTTGTGCGGTACATCGAATGCGGTACGAAAATGAACTAGTTTAAATTGTGCTCCGCACGACTAATGGTTGCCACCGCTGAGCCACCGACTCCAATTCGACTACCAAATCTTCTCATTGGTAGCGGAGCCACGCACTCTTCCCGACGCCGAATGAACGACGTCTCTACAGTTCCCAAATTCCTAAGCGGCCTGACGGCCCGAAAGATGTCAAGCTCATCCGTTACTAGTTCTCCGGGCTAGTTCTGGAGATGCCAAGTAGCAGTGTCCTGCTACAAGGTCCGATGTCCGGATATAGCTACCGACTTAAAGGGCAACTCACGTGTCCTGCGCATCTGCTCGCCTCTAAGACGCGCTAGCTGCGCGTAGGACGAACGCCCCGGCCACACACCACCGGGGCAGATGAACGTGTTCGTCCCTGCAGCTAACCACAAACCTTGGCTAGTCCATACCCAAACCCGGGTCCGCCAAAGACGCCGTTGAAGGCGTATAACTGGCGTAGGGCTTGGCCCGGGCGTCCGCCGTACCCTCTAGTCGTCTGCCGTTGGCCTTGCCTTCCAGTCTGTAGTCTCTCCGGAAAACCCAATCTCTCGGTTCGATAGATATTGTAAGGAGCAGTCCCATACATTTCTACATTCGTTTTGTTTATAGTGCCCCTCCCTATCAACGCGGGAAAGGCACTATGGCCTATGCAAGCTCGCTTGAACAGGCTGCGCTCGAGACGAACGCCCCGGTCACATGCTACCGGGGCAGACGAACATGTTCGTCCCTGCAGTTAACCACAAACCCCGGCGAGTCGATACCCAAGTCCGGGTCCGCCAGAGACGCCCGTGAAGACGTATAACTGGCGGAGGTCTTGGACCGGACGCCCGCCGTACCCTGGATTGCCGTCGAGCTCGTAGTCTCTCCGGAAAACCCTATCTCTCGGGTTAGTAGATAGGGACAATGTTGTAAGGAACAATATATATCGAGAAGCTCTCGTGGGTCATGTATACATTATTATTTTTTCTTGTGACCGCTAGAGGTGCAGTACAATTTGCCATACAAAATTGTGAATTGTATTCGCAGTCTTATTTAATAACGCCTTCCCGTTTCCATCGTCGGAGGACTAGAGGTAGGCTGGGGTTCCAATGCTATGATATTCCAAGGATTTGTACGAAGCGTTTCGCTTCCATATTTAAAAATGGCGAACGGCTAAGAAGAGGTATACCCTGCATGCAGTTTATTCCCAGACCGCTATAACATCGGCATTTTCAAGGCGAGAGTGAATAGGCATTATTTAGGTGTGCATATTACGTCAAGTGAGATGGAGGTCAAATGCGCATTTATTGTTATTATTAAGTATTATGTCCTTAGCGACCCCTCGAGGGAGGCGCACATTGTAGTTAATTGTAAATAGATATGATATTATCTAATCGCACTGTAGTTAGAACAATCTGGAGGCCAGGGAATGTTCCTTAATGGCCGTGTTAATGTTACAACTTTTAACGTCATAGACTGACATTAAAGTAGTATAACGTTATCTGTATAATCAATAATACATGTTTACTAATAAGTCGGGTATCAAAGTTAGCCACCTTATTAATAAACATGTATTATTGCACACATTTGTACGCGTATTTGAACACCTTTTTCAGTGTACAGAACGAAGATAGCTACAATGTAGAATTGAAGTTTTTTTTTATAATACTAAGTGACGGTACGAACAAGTCGTGCACGTGGTGGTAAGCGACACGCTTGTCCTTAATAATTGCAGTGTCACTCAGACCTTTAAATCGTAAAGATTTGAGGAACACTGCTAATGCACCCGTCACCCTGAGATATAAGTTAACAAGTCCCATGTGCCTATAATTTCAACAGCACCCTTACCCTTCAAAACTAGAACATGGTAATGCTCGCATACTGCTTGGCGGCAGACATGGGTAAGGTGGCAGTACTTCCCTGGACGAACTTTTTTCACAAGGACCTCTACTGTTACTAAAAATTTACAAGTAAACAATTTATAACAATGCTTTACAGTGTCTTGAATAAACGTAGTATATGTTGACGTCAACTTGTTTAGAAATAAAGTAAATTGGAATTTACCTTGAAGAATAAAGATTGATTTGTAACTGATCGTGAAGATTTCCATATTCTCAAGTGCATTGTATATAAAAACCTCTACCTTGATCACTACACTTATTATTATTGCTCAGTTGTACACCGTAACATCTGTTTATACGAAATGTATTATGCAAAGTAACCATTTTTGTTCCTCGACTGTACTCCACTTTATCAGGAGCTCAGTGAATCTACTACTTATTGTGTCTTTATTTACACGTCGCGAGTGTGCACAATCACAACGTATGTATAAAAAATATTTTTTAACATTTATTGATAAATTATATTTAATAATATCGTTCTAATTGTAAATGCATTTAATTTTTGAACAAAGTAATTATTAATTTGATTGTAACAATAATGCGATTTAAATGATAATCTTGTGATTAGAAAATCAATTAATTTCTTGATGTGTATTAAATTTTTAGGTGTATATTATAATAACATTCTCCATTTCTTGCTTAGGATTTGAAGACCTTGTTAAAAATGAGATACGAGACACGGATATGTTTTCTTCTCGTCATTAGTACACGTGCCGTGTTCGCGACGCCAGTGACAATTGAATGCTGCCAGGAGAATACCAGAAGAGCAGCAGATACGTGCCGCCCTACTGTAATAGCCCATAGAGGCGCCAGTGGTTATGTGCCAGAACACACTCTTGGCGCGTACGCTCTTGCTATCACTATGGGTGCTGACTACGTTGAACCCGATCTCGTGATGACCAAAGATGGTCACCTAATAGCAAGACACGACAGTGAACTAAGCGAGACTACAGATGTTTCTCACGTCACTGAATTCGCTCTTCGCAAACGTACCCAAACTATCGACAATCAAGAACTGACTGGCTGGTTCACAGAAGACTTCACACTTGCTGAAATAAAAACATTGCGGTGTAAGGAACGGATACCGAATATTCGACCTGGCAACGCTCGAATGAACGGCAGTTTCACTGTACCAACCTTCCAGGAAATCATCGACTTAGTCAAAAATATGGAGGCTAGCCAACATCGTCAAATTGGCCTTTACCCAGAAATAAAACATAGTACACATTTCAAGCGCCTAGGATTACCAATGGAGCAACTTGTTGTCGATACGTTTCACAGAAATGGTTACAGCGGACCTCAGGCACCTGTTTACATACAGTCATTTGAAGTGAACAATTTGAAAGAACTTAAAAATTTGACTGAACTTCGGTTACTGCAATTGTATGAGAGTGATAAGTTGAAACAGCCGTATGATCAGGTTGTGCTTGGTACGGGGCTCACTTACGGTGACATGGCTAATCCAGCTGGGCTAAAAGAAGTAGCGAAATACGCAGCAGCAGTCGGCCCGGATAAGTCCTATATTATACCGCGGGATGATGCAAACAGACTTAGTACACCTACTAATTTTGTCTCAGACGCTCATATGGTAGGGTTAAAGGTGCATCCGTATACTTACCGCGCTGAAAATGGTTTTCTTCCTGCAGAATTTCGAAGTGAAGACGTGTCAGATGCTGCAATTGGTGATTTAAGTGCTGAACTGGAAGCTTACTTTGCCACGGGTATAGATGGTCTCTTTTCTGATCAGCCTGATATACCAGTACGTGTTCGAGGGCGATGCATATAAAGTAAACAAAGCCGTGTTTGTTCGTTCTAAAATGTGCTGCTGGATTCATTACTAAATATAGAACACCGAAAACATGCCCACGTTTGTAACATACTACAATCATAATTAACATTTGATTTTAACATAGTGGTATCAGTGCGTAAAAATATACTCACCGACATTGTTTGTCCATTATCTAAATTTTATTGTACCCTATTCATTGTACCTTTATGAATAGAACATTAAATTTATTATTGAAAATTTAAACAATGCAAAGATGATAATAAAGGTTAAAATGAGTAAGTTAAAGATACTTCGAATGTATATTTATAACCTAACATTTGAATAAGTCGATATAAAAACGCACTAGAAGTTCATAGCTACGAAGGTGGATATCCCTCCATTCGTTAACTTCCTTCCTTTGACCCGCTACGAAATCTAGCACAGTGACTCGGTGCTACAGGATAGCAAATATTTATGTAGTACATGTTACGAACAGCTAGCGCTTATGAGCGCTGGAAAATTAGTGACGTTTCTACTACATAGGACGACTATTGTTGAGAACATTTTCACGCCATTTAGTCAATATAACGAAAAATAATAATAGTTGGTTGCTAAAACACACGTAGGTGCCGCTATGTTTTGGTAGATAAAAGGGCCTGGTGATAACCTTATAATTGAGAGGCTCAGTAACTAACAATTTATAAGAAACTGAGTCTATGAGCATATAGACTCAGTTTCTTATATATATGAGAAATATGTCAATTTCCTTAATTTTGTATGAAAAATCGTTTTATTAAATTTAACCAACTTCTGCTGTCCTGAATTTCTTCGTCCCATACAATGAAATCATCTTTACAAGACGCTGAGTCTATCAACATTACAAAAAAAAATGTCAATTTTATTCACTTTGTGTGAAAAACATTTTATTAAATTTGATTAACTTCCGCGCTCCCGATTTTTTTGTTCCTTACAATGAAGTGATCCTTATATAAAACTGAGTCGATCAGCACTAAAAAAAATTTTGATCAATTTTATTCATTTTTATGGACAATTTCGTTTGACCAAAAAATTGACTATGCCAAAATTGTATTCACAAAAAAAGACTTAATGGTTCCTAACACATTTTCCTTGAATCGTCTATGGTTTCGAATCCATTTAAAAAAACACTGTATATACGTTAAACAGTGTAATTTAACCTACTTCAAAAAGGAGGAGGTTCTCAATTCGACTGTATGTTTTTTTATGTTATTAATGACTTTTGTGGTCGGTTTTTTTAATACTCGGTACTATTTTGTTATCCTCGCGCTGCCTCTCTCGCCTCGCCGGTGGAAAAGCAGCTTAAGTGTTTTGTTTTAATATAAGATCGAGCTCATTGTGTTGATATAATAAACCATTATTATTATACTTGATAGTCGCCATAAATTCATTTAATGGGCAATGTTATAAGTTTTTTTATTATACCGGCGACGGGACGAACATGTAGTGCGCCTGGTGGTAAGCGACGCGCCTACATGTAAAAGCTCCAGTACTACACAGAGCTTTAAATCGCTAATATCTGAGGGTCACTGCCACTGCGCCCATCACCCTGAGACATAGAAAACTAAATAACTTGTTGTAAACAAATTATTTAGATTTCTGTGCCTTGAAACATAAGTTGACAAGTCACATATCTATAATGTATGTTTATAAAAATTCAGCTTCTATAATAAGCGATTCGTTGATTTTCAAATTTATTTAAAAGGTGGTTATTTTTTTTCACTGAATATAATGTTTTACTACCTATGTTACTTGTCTATTTTTTGTGAAAACACTCTAGTTTGTTATTGATATAGAGAAGAATAAATACAAAGAAAAATCCCTTCTTACCTACTGGTGTGGAACCAGCGTCAGTCGCCTCAACGTGGCTGTCGGTCTGTCAACGGAGCTACGTCTCGAGTCAGCAGGTCTTACGAATGTGTCTACGTGCTTATTGCGGATTTTTAAACTGGGTGTTTAAGAGGCTTTTTTGTCGTAGCGCCACCTGTCATAGGCTGTTATAAAATTTCGGCTTGTTAGAATGACGAAAATCCATGGAAGGGGTTCAATAGTACAGGGTAAAGAGCACATCAAGTTTGGCAGTTAAGAGTGGTAACAATCGGCGACTTCTAGCAGCGGTTCAAACGCGCGTTCGTGGAACGCGCAATTGCAACGATGCGAACGTGCGACTGCATGGATACAGTCGCTTATGTTGAATAATTATGTACGAAAAAGCTGTATATGCAATATATTCTGTTTTGTTAATTGTAAAGAAGGATGGCGACATCCCGTATATTTTGTGACCCAGTGTTTTTGACGACGTGCATTAAAGAGACCTATCAATACTTGTGATTCATTATCAAAGCATCGAAAAAGCTAATTTAGTACAGCCTGTAGAAACTGTGGTTAAAAAGTTGATGTAGGTTATGTTTATAACATTGTCCTGTATTTCGCTTCAGATGTTTGTTCGTAGTAGCAGAAAACAAAAAGTTTTCAGTTTGTTCCTAAAAATAATAAAGAACTTGCTGAATATTCCTAAATCTGCCAAACTCTGCCACATTTAATACAACGTTAACATGTTCTGCCGCATTGAAAATGAATAAAAATTAAATCTACCCGAATGGCAGAAATCTGCCACAAATGGTCGCACTGTTCTCAATCTCAAAGTGACATTGACATTGGCAGGTCTCTCGTCAAAACGTTCCTTTGGTAACTTTCGTATCTATCATTTAAATATTGTCTAAACATTTTTATCACATTGTGTTTTATTTTTTACTTTATGTCATTATTGTTTAATAGGTTATATGATTGGGTATTTTATAGCTTTAATGTTGTATGTGCTATAAAATAACCAATACTTTAGGTAAAGAGAGGTAAAGGGGTAAAGATTCAATCATACTTAAAATGGAACGTACGTGAACATGTACATGAACGTTACCTAATCTACGGTCGAAGTGAATCAATTGCGTTGTGTTCTCGCATCCATTCTAAAATACACTATATTACAATTTCTTTGTTCCCGACTTCTAAAAATGTACAAAAACTTATTAATAATTAGACATAAACTAAAACGTAAAATTATACTAAGTAAGTCCATGAACGGCACTTCGTTGATTTTGGGGAAGTGAAATTAATAAACACATTAAATTAGTTAATTAATTTAAAACGTGCATCGCGTTTGTATCGCGTTTGCATCGCTGCTAAAAGTCGCCAAGTGTAACGCTATAAGATTGAAATTCAACTGTTTGTCGCTTGAGATAACAGTAGTCCAAAGTTGATGTTTAGTGTGCTAAATGTTGTAAATGATAAATGTGAACTATTTACAGCTAGCAACTAGAATGTCTTATCTTATGAATTAATTGTATAGTTTAGCGAATTTCACGGTTTCGAGCAAAGACTTCAATCTACTATAGACAAGAGCATTGACGGAAACTATTATATTCCAAACTATTAATAATAATAAATAGTGTTTTGTTTTAGTGTTGAATTTTGTCAAAGAGTATCAGTATCGTAGGTAGTACAGTAGACTAGTAGTAGTAGAATGAATACCAACAACAAGTAATATTTTGGTTGCGTTAGGTTTTTTTTTACTTTAAAGGCTTGCGTTTGACCACAATCGCACCCGGTGGTAACGTTAACAGAGATATCGTTGGTTTCAAGTGTAAATTGCTAATTTGCTTGGCTATAATTTTGAATGCTTTTCAACTAACACCAAGGACATGGTTAAAGTCAGTGTCGGGGCAATGCCCCTTCCTTTTTTTAGCAAAACAATCATTAGCATGTATATTGTAGGATGTCAATACTGTTGTGAAGTTACAAACAACTCCCGATTTACGAATGCCTGTAATTGTTTAATTTTTCCCATATAACCAAATTCATTTAATTTTGTAATGCTAATTAAAAGTATTCAATGCATTGTATTATGAAGTTTATTGACATCACGATGTGTCACTACCGTAATATTCAATTATTTGTTTGTGAAATTACTCTACTAGTTTGGTATAATGGAAATGCAAAATACTCTAAATGGCATGGAAAATACTCTACTAGTGTCGTCAGCATACCACGCCGACGCTCTCCCAACTAAGCTACGGAACGATCCAGCAAACCCAATGAATTTTTCTATGTGCTTGTTGCAGATCTTTGTTCCGGTTTTTTACCGTAGTGCCATCTATGAGAAATCTATGAAAGTTTATCTTCATTCAATAAATAAAATAAATAATTTGTTTTCGTTATCTTATAACATTATACTGTATCTATACTAAAATTGAGCATAACACTGTAACTCCAAACTTACAATAAAATGATTCGTATTGGCTAGTGGTCTTACATCAAAATATTTTTAAGAACTCAGTACCTATGGCGAATTTCGTAGACACAGTTTTAAAAGTCGATAGAGCTCGAAAAATTATGTAGGATACCGTTAAAAACTCAAAATCGTAAAAAATGGAGTACCAGTGTTATGCTTCTCAGGTACGGATATAATTATTAGACGTCATCACATACATTGCTCTGATCCAAAAGGGAAAGTGAAATCCTAAACAACGACAGTACCATAACACTCAGACCCGAGACAGTGTAGAAAAGTTCGTTTTCTACACTAACCCGGCCGGGGATCAAACCCGGGACCTCAAAGATGGCGACACAACGAAAACCGGTGTGCAAGCCACCACAGGAGCCGTCAATGTATTATTGATTTTTTGAATTTCACAATGTTCTACCGCCGTGATATTCATATATATTTTTTTGTGATTACCTCGGTCAAAAATACAAACTAAAAACAAAAATTAAGGGTACAGCGTAGTCATATGTTCATGTCAAAGTTTACAGATTCTATGAACGAAATCAGTCGATAACTTTTTTATGCTTAAATAGGAGAGTTAAAAATATCACATATATATGCATAATTTGTTTGATGTGGTTCGTATTATTTTTATTCATTTTATGTGAGAGCACTTTTGCCGACGAGGGTACGAATTTTTTATTAGGTCTATGTATTCGATTTGTATTTTTTATTTTATTTTATTTTAATTTTATGATACCACGTGACGGGATGAACAAGCCGTGAGCCGATGGTAAGCGAAACGCCTTCCATAACAGTAGCAGTGCAGCTTTTGAGCTGGGCCACTACTCTCGTCACCCTGAGATATAAGTTGACAAGTCTCATGTGCCTGTAATTTCACCAGCGCCCTTACTTACCCTTCAAAACCGGAACGCAATAAAGCTTACATCACTGCTTGGTGGCAGAAATAGGTAAGGTGGCAGTACTTCCCTGGACGAACTCTTTCACAAAGAGCTCTACTCCTACTAAATTACTATGTAAATAATTTTCATAATGCCCTATTTTCATTGCCAAATCCATAACAAAACCACATAGCCTCCAAATAGGCTGTCCAGACAAACACGTAAAATGTCAACAGCTCAATATAAGGTCTGTACATGACAACAAAATTACACGCGCAGTTAAGAAAGAGCATATTCCTTTAATTTCTATGAGACATAACGCTGACTTCAAATTTGTCCAAGGGAAAAGATAATTTGGTATTTACGAAAAAAGAATAATAATGACTCTTCTATTTGTAATGTTTGAAGCTATGTGTTGGGATTGAATGTGCGTTTCAAGGCTATAGTGAATAGGGACTTCTAAGCAAGCAATCGTTTCGTTG